CGTAGCGAGCGAGCTGCGAGCGAGGNGAGCGGAGCGAGGCGGGAGGGCGGGGCGGGGGCAGGGACGGAAGCGGTCATGGGTGCAAGAGTGACTGATAAAGACATGCAAGAAGCTCTCTAGGTAAGGAGTGCATTCCACATAATTATTTTAATTAACAACTAAACAAAATTTAAAAATAAATAATTTTATTAAAAAAACAGATAATCTGAGAACCCTCAAAATGGAATAAAAATATGTGCATACAAAAAAAAGGGCAATAAAAAGTAATTGTTTATTCATTATATTTTATGTGCCTAATAATATTATTATTATATTCTTTTGACGTGTAGTATATGTAACAATAATCCTAAATTACATTAAAAACCTATCCGTATGAGGCACATCAAGATAACTGATATATATGCAAGGGAGCTGATTTTTTATTGATAAATATCTGCTTCATTTGCAACATCCAAAAGCATATCAAACTGCTTTAGCTGCAATTTTACATTTTCTAAAAGACCAAAACCTTAGAGATAGAGGATGATCGCAACTAAGATCCAAATGAATCATTCACTTGGCCACTTGTTGACCCTTCGAGTGGCTAGGAGCAACCCTAGAAAATGGGGCTCAAGATCCCAAAAAGGGGAATCAAGATCCCATTGAGATCGCTATCTAAGAGCATTGGAGCAAGATCCCAGGGCAGGAACGACAACTAGTTTAGGGGATCCCAGTAACTATGGTCCTGCCACTAAATATTGAATGGTACACGGGTTTATAACATCGCAAAAGGATGAAAACACCATAGTTCAAAATGGGTGTGCCATGCCTGTGCCATGCCTGTGCTGAATACTTTGAACAACCAAAGTAAAATCACAAAATATTGATGTTGCAGCCTACAGCAGTATTTACGCATCACAAATAAGCAATATGAGGTAAAAAGATATGAGAAAAGAGAAGCATAAGTCCATCAGATGACTTATGTTTTATAGTGTTTTGAGTGACATAAGATCATGTGGACATAAAACTCTTACACTTTTTCCTCCCACAGGGCCAATGAGGTATTATAATCAATGTACCAGATCATAGGCAATAATGTTTGATATATGCAATGATATACACTTGTAAATCTATTTTGCAAGTGGCCCTGTAAGCATGTTGGCTGAATGATAGTCAGATGCTATCCAAATTTTATCAAATGCCACCTCCCAGTAACAAAATGTGAATATCTCATAATGTGAATGGTTCTCTAATGGATTATTAAATTAGATGGTACAGAATTCCATTTATGTTTAGTACATATTTATAAGAAGATCCAATTTATAGACCAATCACAGTCACTAGCCTCCTTAGCCACATCGGTTTGAAGAAGAATTATTAATTGACCTTTACTTCTACACTACACTTGGCTATACAAGTTGCTTTTACACAATGTATATCCGGTGCTCAGTAGCAGACTGCAATCCATTTGAAAGTCAAAACCACGGGCACGCCTATGATTCCAATTCTCATCAGGAATCGGAATCGCAGAATTGCGTGTACTAGATGATTGCTAATCTTGCAATTGTCGTCAATACGATGAAAAACATCGGAGACGTGATTCCCAACAATCAGAATCACGATCCAATAAAATAGGAATTATGATTCCTATTTGTAGGAATCGGCATTCCTTTATGTTGGAATCATGTTTCTTACCCATCAGGAATCGCACATAACCCACAGTGTTCAATAGGTTCCGGAAGTGTGATCTGACGAAATAGGAATCATGATTCCAACATTATTAGAATTGTTGTCCCCATCGATTTGGATTCGAAATCCCACAATTCAAGAATCGCGCACGAATCCACTCTGGCATATGAGAGAAGTACTTTGCGAGAAAAGATTTAAATTTTTACAGTTTTTTACAAGCTTGAAACCTGGAGTCCATATTTTTAGTACAATTACCGAGGGCAATCATATTATGCGGATCAACATCTTTGTTAGCACTCCCACCTATTTGGGCTGCCACCCAAACGTCTTACCTTGAGATGGGTCTTCCACCCATAACATGATTTATAGATTGATAAATCTGTTGAGTAACTTGGCAAAGATTATTCTCCATGGATTCATCTCAAAATTTTATTAAGGCTTTTTGGCTCTCACAACGTCACAGTCACGAAACCCAAACCATGGGTATTTAACCTTGTACAAAAATATAATATAATATCAAAGGGTTCCTGGAACTTCTCCAGTAACATAAAATGGTCTCCTAGAGCTCCTTTAGTACCATACAATTTGTGGATATGTTTCATTTTGTTGGGTATTTGTGGCCATTAAAGGCCTTATGAGACCATGTAATCAATATTTTAATATAGTGGAACAAAAACTCAATGGGAGTATGGTCAAATAGAACCGAGATTGGCAAATGAAGTTTTTCGGAGACTCAGACTAAGATTAACGAGCTATGCTAGTCGAGTTACAAAAACGTTAATACCTAGGCATAGAGAACAACGATGAGGGTTAGCAGACTTATCCCTTGATGTGGTCAGAGTTGCTCAAGGTAGAGAGCTAAGGGACTGTGTCACCCTTGTGTGTGATGGTAGGCCTGTAGAGACGTAGGCTAAAGCCTCAACTTGAACTATCACACGGCATGTACATATGATAGTTGTGTCGGTAAAAAAATCACTGTTGAGGGTGATATGTGCACATGTGCGAGATATTATTGCATATACACTATAGAGTTGTGGTTGCTCTAGGTTTGTATGACCTTGGACTTGTCCCTAAGGAGAACTTGTAATCCACAGACTGGGAATATGTCCCCTCACCTATTAACAGACATTGGTAGCCCAATCATGAACCCTTGTGATGGTCAACAACTCAACTGTTGAGTCCATTTGAGAAAGTGAGTGTTGATTATAGTCCATGGTAGAAGATGGAGTGCTTCAGTAGATTAATAATTCCTTAACATAGTTGGATCTAAATCCCATCAAAATATTTAGAATTGAGAAAACTCATCCACTTGATGATTCAAATTACAAGGTGAACTTTTCACCTCTGTGAATAATTTTTATTCACCTACAACATGATATTACATGGCTATGAAATAACAAGACAAGAAGTAATAATAAAATCCAGTTTTGATTGATTTTTCACAAAACTTGGACTTGATTAAAATTATTCTCAATCTTTTCCTCCAATTTGAAAAATATTACAACGTTAGGTTCAATATAGGATTTTTGCATGAGAACAAGGATTCCAACACAATGGGGGGTGCACGATACGAATAACCCCCACACCATAGAACCAAAAAGGAAAAATGTATTTAAAAAAAACAAAAATCTCTCAAAAATCATTATTCTCCTAGGGCATTTTCAGCCATTTGGTGAATAACGGAGGCCCAAGGCAGGCACCTCAAGAGGTGGATTTTTTTCTCCCCTACCTAGAGGTGCTAAAGAAAATTTGAACAACCAAAGAAAGACACATAATAGAACTCTCACAATTTACTTGAAAAATAAAAGGAAAGATAACAAGCCTAACTTTAATAGCTCTGCGCATTCACTTTATTTCTGAAGAACTAGAGTACTCAACCAATAATCAACTCTGATGAGAAACCCATACAAGCCTCAATTACAAACTATTTGG